TACATATGACCGCTTCCTAACACACAGAGACTGTACTTGGCACTGCCTTTCTGCAAAGACTGCTGCTTAGACCAAACCATCAGATATGATATTCCACTTCTACAGCCAGGGAAACTGCACTGGACGCTGTGACAGACTGTCTCTGTTTCTTTGTGGGTTCTCTGCTGTTTGTTATGCTTCTTTAAGGAGTAACTAGGTCAGAGAAACTGTGCTGGAACAAAGGAAAAATAGTTTCTTTCGTTATATATAACTTCAGCATGTTTAGGGGAGAAAAGGTTTCCAGCATCACTGGGTGAAGATGACAGAACGACAGGAGAATCACTAGAAGAGCTAGGAGCTTCCTAAAACTGAACCTTTCTGCAGAAAAAATGAGCCCATCTGCATCTCTGCACTGGCTTTACCATTCAAAGCATGTTTTAATTTTCCTTGGAAACCACCTCCTGACAAGTGCTTTTTGGTTCCTCTCACCAAGGGCAATATTGGCATAGATTTTTATAATATGATACTCTTCTCTCTTATAGGTTTTCTGTATACAGTAAAATAGCTTACACGCAACTGCCAGGAGTATCACTAACATCTGGGTTAGCAGGCACTGAAACAGATGGGACAATACATCTCCCTTCGATACCGGGAAAATCTTGCATGTCTCCCCTGCTCATACTCAGGCTCTAAAGGCTCTACTCACATCCTACAAACAGGAGCGAGGAAAGACAACCGGAGTCACTGGATGGCAACTGAGAGTCTACCAAGCTTACAGCCAGATGTCCTCTGCTGCCTGCACCATGATAACAGGCACTCTTGGGACGAGGAATGTGAGGGGTGATGCCTCCTGAAATAAATATTCAAGTTAAGGTAAAATTCTCCAAGTAGAAGAAATCAATTCAAGGGATTATGTCATTCGGTTACAAATATTGTTCCTTCCTTGGAGTTGCTAGAAGTTTCAAGGACTACATTGATGTATGTCTATGGCCTTTGGGACATTCGTATCCTAACCAGAAAAACAGTGTATGCACAATGACTGCACCCAATTAATATCTACAGTCATTAGGCAAGTTGTATTTTGTGATCAATTTTTCATTTATATTGAAGAATAGTATCTCCTTAAATGGCAAGCACGTATAGTTTAGCAAAGTATTTCAAAACAGTTTAACACCCACGTAAATAATCTTTCATATGACATGAAAGGGAAATACTACTACTGTTTACCCAGTGATACGGCATCATAACTCATTTATTCAGTAAATAACCATAACAAAAGCAATTACAGTTTAGAATGCCAGTAAACACCATGTCTTACAATTCACTTACAAAAGCAGACTAACTAAGAATGATCCTTCACCGATATTTTTAAAGAGTATGTTTAGGTTGCTTCTTAGCCAACCTTACCAATGATTGTCCCTTAATATATACTTTTATTTGTATTCCGTATACACACAAAAATCACAGAATTCATCTCAACTGCAACATATATTCATCTAAAAGAAACACACACAACTGATAAATGACCCACTAATAATGTACTTGCTAATTCTCTCTTTCAGACTGGATATTGTGAGCATTTTAAGACACTAGGAGGTATAATTAGTTGTAGGAACACCTAAAGACTAATTACCAGTACAGGAAAAAAATCAAAAGCATTACTATAATTAGGTTCATTTGTTTTACTTGGAGAGGAAAAATCCACAGTATTCTGGAACATAGTGCGACTTGATTAACCAAATTTTCTTGACATTGCTAGAGTTAGGAAATAAAGTCACAACTGATAGTTTATTTAAAAAAGAAAAGGAATTTTATAGTCCTCTTTACATAGAGGTCAACAACTCTCAACGAACGTTCCCATGTACTGTGCTTTCTAGAAACAGATTTTTCTTCATTTCCACTTAATGCTACACATAATTGAAAGGACAAGAGATGCTAATTTGATCTTCCTAAATGTCACACACCAAAGAGCAAACGAGAGCTAAAGCAGGTACATTTCTGATTTGCACACCTTTTCAAGACCCTGCATTAATCAGTGTCAGGAGATTTCCAAGTATTTTGTTTCACAGGTCTTGCAATCAATGAAACATTTAGTCTCCAACAACTGGCCTGTTATACCTCATTACAGCACGGAAAAGTTAAAAACAATTCTTAATGACCAGGACACATTCAAGAGCACTGGCTGACTATCACTGCATAAAACCAGAGCTGAATCTTTACAAAAAGGCCATTAAAGCTATCAGGGTCAGAATTTGACTTACTGATGATTTTCTTTTTTTAAAAGAATTTGCTCTTTATATTTCTGTTTGTGAAAATGCTGTAACAGCATTTTAAAGCTAACTCCTATTTTAAACTTCATCAGTAAGCAATGTTACAGTAAGCAAACTGCATGCTCAGATTCACTGAAGAAGGGAAAATTGTAATACTGATTTGAGGGATTTCAACATAAAGCTGTTAAAGGTAACTTCAGATGTCTCAGGGAATACAGTAACAATATCTTCTGAAAGACTAAGGATATGACAGAGGTCAATTTTGAGTTATCCATGGTTACGCCACAGCCTCTTCCCCCGAGTCAGGTGCTCTCTCAGAGGGGACACCACGGAACCTTCCTACAACCCTCTCAAACCACAAAAGACTCCAAAACATCCTTCTAGATCATTTATTCGGTGTCATTTTTTCACCAGAGACTGGCTTCCTAGAGAGGTGGTCAATGCCCCAAGCCTGTCAGTGTTTAAGAGGCATTTGGACAATGCCCTTATTAACATGCTTTAGGTTTTTGGTCAGCCGTGAATTGGTCAGGCAGTTGGACTAGATGATCATTGTAGGTTCCTTCCAACTGAAATATTTTATTCTATTTAATTATTTCATTAGATGTCCACAGTTTACCTGCATTAGCCTGTTAGAGCACTGTGCAGTTAAAGAGGCCAGTGATGCTCAAAGAACCGTACTCCATATTTTTCACAAGCATACACACAGGTAACCCTCAGTCACGACGGGGTTTATTTTATGGAAATGATCTAAGAGAGGACTCCTACCTCTGTAACTAACTGCTGTTTCTACCAATTCATGTGTGGGCTGTCATTCTCTGTTCATTAGGAATGACAGCTCTCCCGAATGTACAAAACTTCGCCGCTGTATCCTTTCAGGAACATCTCTCATTGTGATGGATGCACACAACAGGGAGCAAAAAGAGACTGTCAGATAGGGAACAAATAAATAGATCTTACTGCCAAGACCTGCCAGCTCCAACTGTTCTCAAACACAGCACCCGGCACAGACAACAGTGCTCCCATTCTACTCCTCCGCTGTGCCCATGCCGGTATGCACTTCATTAGCTGGAGGGCTCAGGGCTACAGCTCATTCCAGGTATTATCTGAACTAATTGCTACAAACCTAACCACCAAAGGAAGCTATTTCATCCAAGGACTCCATTCAAGCAGGAGGAGACAGTGCAATGTAAATGGGTAGTTTCTCTGCATCTTTGGGAGCTCACATGGACTATAAGCCAAATTTAAAGCTAAGAAGACCTAGCAGAGTAACAAGTTCAAATTCCTCCTAATTAACAGCCCTTAATAGACCATTTGCAGTGGGAAAGTTTGTGCAAAAGCAAAGTATGATGCTAAAGCCTTGTGCAAAAGCAAAGGGGAAAAAAGCCTTCCTTCTCTGCTGCTGGGTAACGTAACATATTTTATTCTTACAAGGAAACTTACTATTTTCTCCAACACAAAAAGGTTTAAAACAATTTACAGTTCTTCAGCATCCTACCTGCAGTGCTACATGAAAGCAAACAAAAGAAGCCTGCTGGATGTTTCCTTAGAGCTGACTTGATCACACGCTGCTGCAGGTGATGGGCTCCTGCCAAGCATCACTGCACTCTGAAGAAACTGTTTTTATCAGTCAGACTTCCAAATGGGCATTTATATTCATTGGACACCTCTCAGTATTAATACAGACGAGCATATACCCTCTCTGCATCAGTACAGTTGAGATACTGGGAGGTATTTAGGCATTATTCATGGTGGGTTTATTACTTACAATTAGAGCTTTTGGGCCAGATCTTCAGCTGGCATAAACTCAGCACAGCTCTATTTAAATTGAAGGAATCATGCTAATTTACACCAAATTATGATCTGTACCGAAGGTCTCTAAGGATTATCTACTTGATACGTCAATTATTTTACCTAATTAAACTAGTTGAGAGTGTTTCTTAGTAAATTATGAGCCATCTATGATATTTATTCATTGAAGAGCTCAGACTGTTAGGCAATACTCACGTATTGTCTTTCCTTGCTTCCTTTTTTTTTTAATTGAATATATCTCATCACAACTTTGGAGCCACATTATCTAATCTCCCCATACAAAGTTTGCATGGGAAAATACTTTTTGCTAGGCACTGACTGTTTAACGTTCATTTTTGTGTTTCTTGCACACCGAAAGCTCTCATGGCTTTGAAAAAAATTTTAGGGAAGTGAAACATGGTGGATGAGCTTTTCTGCATCCTTATTTCATAATTGTTGTGTAGCCACCAAGCTGATGCCAAGCTCCTATTTTCTAATGCTCCAAAATATTACAGCTGTAAAATCCTGACCATCGTGCTACCCAAAAAACCTTGTTCTGCTAAGTTTTGCCTTTCCTAGATCTCTGATTTTGTAACCGTTTGTTTTATTAATGCACATAGCATGCTGGGTGCAATATCTTTGTTTTGTATATTCCAAAGGGTAAAGCACTATGACCATGAAACTTGGTATGAACTTTTATTGGCAGAGGGGCCAGCGTTTTGCTAAAATGTCAACAAGTACAGCACTGATTTTGGTTTTTCTATAACAACTTTAACAGCTTTGTTACGTAATTTGCTCGGTTAGACTACAGGCACAGAATCCCCAGTAAAACAGTATTTTGTATACATTTGTAGGTATGAAGTAATCAGGAAAACAACATTTTTTTTGCCGTGATTCACAACAGCATTATGATGAACCAGAATTCATGTTCATTAACACAAGGAAAAGATTCGTATCTCTTACCTTTTATTTCTGTCTTCTATCTGCAAGATATAGACCATGTCATCGGTAGCATGAAGCTTGGAACTGCTGTCTCCCCATTTCAGCTTCAGGCTCTGAGGACCTGCTGCAGCACACTCTAACCGAGGAGGTAAGGGTGGTAACGGCCTGGTTTTTGCTTTAATAAAGTGGCTAAATGGTCCAGCTCCGATTTCATTGACAGCCTGGATCCTGATCCTAAAATGAACAACAAAAAGGTAAATGTTAAAAAAAGCGCTTTCACGAGGTTCTTGGTATAAAAAAGTCTCAAAAAACAAAACAGCCTTCTGGACCTGACTGCTCTGTCACCAACACAGTGCCCGCTCCCAGCTACCAGTGCTCTGCTTTGGCAAAATGAAAGGCTCTGTCAACAACAAGTATTATCATTCTGTGTATATTGTAAGAGCTGCAGTGAAGATATCAAGAAATGCAGTAAGGCAGAGGGGGGAAGATTTGGGTAAGCAATCTCAGAACCTGATGGCAGTCCCTTTAACCACATGAACAAGGGACAGCAGCACAGATACAAGTGCAACCAGGAAAACATGAAGCCTGTAACTATGAATAAATAAAATGCAGAAGTGTGTTGTGGTTGTCTAACAAAGGTCATGGACTAATTTAGGTGAAATCATTAAGTGAAAGCATTGGTGTCACTGCCATGAAACCCATCTCCATGTTGGTAAATAACTCTGAAGACCAAAGAACAGTATTATTTCAGCGTGTGCAGCGTCTCACAAAGCACACTATTTAAGTACGTGAAACTCTACTGGGAAGAGCTAACCGAGAAGGTTAAATCCACAAACCTTCTACACGCCTTACACAAACTGTGGAAGTATTAACCATCAGTGAGCTATCTATTAGATCAAATAAAAGTTGGACTCAAGTCAGTCTCACAAGATGCACAAAAGCTCTTGAGCCATTTGAATCACATTAAGGACATTTAGAAGAAGAGAAAAGCAGACCACCTACCTAGTCACAGAAGTTTTAATTTGGAAATGTTCTTAAGACTGAGCCAGTATTCTAAATTCTGTTTCTTTCTCAAGATAATGACTCTTGGCTTCCGCTTTGTCACTTTCTCTTATCTGTCTGCACCTTAGTTTAATAATTTGGACAATGAGAATCTGCTCATAGGAAGGAATGAAGAGTAGTAGTCTTTTACTATAGTAAAATCAGCAATAACTTCATAACAAAAATGTGAAATATGCATTTCGAAAGAGCTTTGAGGACTGTGTAAACAGAAATATTGGTACAGACGAGCCGAAAGGTTTCAAAAGTTTGTTAAATCAAAGTGAAAATAAGAGAAAACAGGATGGGCAAACTAATTAGTTTTTTTAGATATTTCACCCTAGTTTAGATAGCTGGATGAGTACCATTTACTTTGGAAATCCTGTGCACAGCAGCCTAGTATTTTCTCATGGGAAAAGACTCTCTACCAGAAGTGTTGCTGCTTCTCAAAACTATCAGTCACCAAGAAGCCAGAAGTCCCTGGGGAAGGTGGCAGGGGGAGAAGAGAGAAGAGCAGAACCTGGTATACCCTTACGACTGCCTGCTTCAGAGGAAGCAGAAGATAAATAGAACTATCTTTGGTTGGCATAACTACTTCTTTTGATTGAAGTACATAAAGTGATGTAAGTTCATATAAACAACATATGAAAAATTACTTTGCTTTGAACAGCAAGTTTTCAGCTCTACCATTAGAAAAAGATTAGCTAGAGTTAATCTGATCGAGAAAAACCCTCCAGAGAACAATATTCCCCATTAAAAAAACCCAAACGATATTTTCTGCAATTTCAAGACCAAAAAGGGTTAAGTGATTAATAAACATATTGCAAAATAATAGAGCCTTATCTACTGATTAGGCAGCTAAAGTAACTGTACACTGTAAGAATACACTGTGTTTACACAGTCATGTGGTTAAACCTTTGCTTATTGACCTAGCCATTAACAAGGGTGAAGTATTGCTTGGCAGGGAGGTGCATTTTCCTTTTAACCTGCCTTTTGGTTTCAGGAAATGCATCCTGAGCACCTTAGAACACTATACAACGGTGGTTTCATCCTCTTCCTCCCAAATGGCGGATGGTATGAAGAAAGATCTAGCGGGAGCCTCTTCAACTGCTGCATACAAGCATTTGACATAAAAAGAACAAAAGGCTTTTCTAGTATCTTAAGAAGTGTAATTAATATAGGTATTGATCTTATTTCATATTATGTTATTGGTTTGCTTCAGATTGAAGAGTCATTACATTAAAATTTAATGGTCTTTCAAGTGGGAAAAAAAAAGTTAAAACTGCCTGAATTTTACTAGATTCTGGGAAGTTATCCGTTAGCATACACACATAAACAGTAACAGCGACATTACAAAATGCTACTACTTTTTCGTAGATTGATTACAGCACCACGCTCTCGAGTATATAGCCTTTTTTTTTTTTTTGGTTTGTTTTGTATTATCCAAAGTAACAACAAAGCCTCTCCTGTCCTCAAGCATCATAACTTTAACTCATTTCCAAATGGCAGCTCCCACACTTGAAAACAAGCAGTGAGCAAAACGGATCTCTCTCAAATATCACACCACATTTCTTAAGCAGAAGCCGATAGGTATGCTTTTTAGATATGTGCATGACCATGCATCTGCATTTACTTGTCTTCCCTTTGCCAGGTATTTGCACAAGGTAAAAATGTGTCTCTTCTTCCCTCATTTGTTGTTGCTTTCATCTGCTGCATGGTGTTCTTGCTCCCACCTTCTGTAACACGGAGATATGCACCCCCCCCACACCGCTTCTTGACTTTGGAGCACAGTAAGACTGATGGAAACTCTTAAGCCTTAAAATAGAGACAGGCATCCTTCCAGACGAATGATGATACTGGGAAAGCAAGAATTGATGTAGTTGACTCTAACACAGCTGGATGTGGCTACCCTTTTTCTGCTGATTACACCACCAGACGACTCTTTGTGAACTGCCACTGCCATCCCCAGGTCCCGAGCTTTGTCAAACACGCACAAGCAACTTTTCGGTTTTCTGGGCACATGGCAGTGTAACCCAGACCCAGCTCTCACCTCCCTCTGAACCACAGCAGCGTCTCCTCAATGGATATTAGGCCTTGGAAATGTCCACAGGGAAAGGGAGAAGGAAGAAAGGAAAAAGAACAGGGAGAGAGGAGGACCATCTGGAGGAGGAGGGAGAGCCCATGGTGGTGGGAGAACACCCTGTACTGCAGCATTTTTGCTCCAGCTCAGGTGCTTTCTCATGTCCCTGCCCCAGCCTGTGACACTCTGAGCTCTTCCAGCTGGGTGGCACAGCCATAGGGGGTGAGATAACTTCCACAATTAAGTGGAAACCAATTACTGTTTACAGAACCGATACTGGGAAAAATAAATTCTTTTTTTTTGTGTAGAAGTAGTATATAGACATGTAGAAATAATTGCAATAAAACCACTTCCTGAACTCCTTTCAACTTTTTCACTAATGGTTTCTAAGTTAAAATACCCCAAACACTGTCTTGGAAAGGTAGTTTTAAAATCTGACAATCACAATTTGAAAACAAAGGTTTTTGAAAACGTAAAGACTATATTTAGGGATAGTACCTAATTCTGCAGACCCTGGACCAATAATACTTGTATTCATTCTCACATTTTCCCACTGCATCTTTTAAACAATTAGAAAAAAATAAATCAGACTAGGCAAATTTAGAAACCATTGAAAGATCTTTAACAGACCATTCTATCTTGTAAGATTCTTGACCCAGGAAAATAAACACACTAAACAGGATGCTATTTTCAGATTGGTCACAAAATCCTTGGTATAGTATTCCAACAAACTGAAAAATTACTTTTGAATTAATCTTAGAGTCTGACATGAGAAGGGTTTGATTCGCTAGTTCCCATAAGCGGAATGCCACCAATTGCAATACAAGTGCCTGTGGAAACCTGCGGGAGTTAAAATGCCACGGACTTCAAAAGGGAGGAGAAGCAGCACGCTCCACCATCGTCAGCAGCCTGAACGTAATGGATGGTAATCAAACACAGCCCCCAGGACAAGCCAGGCCCACAGATCCCCACTCAGCCTGCACACTTCTGGGGCTGGAACAAGACTTAGTTTTACAATCTGAAGCAAAAATTTTGTTTTATAACCCACGTAAGCATTGCTAACTTGAGCATCCATGATCTCTTCATCTTGGAAGATCTTTTCCTCGATATAATTTAGAAATTTAAAGTGTCTAGAATTTTTATTCCTGAACAGAATTGAAATTAAGTGTTGCTATTAAAATTTAATAAGGTTACTATGTATTCTGTATTTCTGTAAACTATGTAACGTCAGAAGAAAATAAGCATTCTTAAAAGTAGGAAGTTGTTTTGCAGTGAAGTATCTCAACAGCACAGCACAATTATGTATGGAAAGCATTAAGTGAAGCTTGGGAACAGAGTGTAACAGAAAATTGGAATTTCTATTACTGTTGAATACTTATTTATTGTGGAATATTTATTAAGTCACTTCTAGTTACATCAGTTCACAGAAAACCAGTCCAAGTATTATTACCCTATAATTAGAGCTTCCAGAGCTTCATGGCTATGTCAATAAAATGGAAAGATGCAGAACTCTCAGACATATTTCTGCAGCTGCTCACCAGCAACGATGTTTACATAGTGCTTTTGTGAGGCATCTGCTTTTTGCAACAGGAGTGTTGGTCTGCGTCTGACATTGGAGAAGTCCTCTTGAAACCAGCCCTAGGCTGGCCATTAGCAGCACGACAGAGGCATGCCCCAGTTCCTCCTGCCTTGAATGTATTTTGGGATGCAAATCCTTCTCGTGGCATGCTGGCTGGATTTGCTACTAAGACACAGAAACCATGAAACTTGTCAGCTTTGAGCCCACCTCCACAAAGAGCCCGGAGTTTGCTCGGTGTATACTTGAGTTGCTCGTCTATGGCCATTCCCACACAGAAGCTGGAAGCAGCAGAGCAATGCCAGACCTAAGCTAACAAATCCAACGGGGTGGACACACATAGACACGCTGTTAGAATCACACCGCTATGCGAAACAACGTTCCTTTCCAATTTTGGACTTGGTGGATTCATAATAACCAAGCTTTGCTTTCAATTTCGGGTTCCCACAAAAACATTGACAGTGAAATTCCAATGCAACTAAAACATGTAAGCCCACTGCTGATTTACTTCAAATTCTGTTGAAACTTTGGCAAGAGAGTTCAGAGTCTCAGACCCAGTAGTGTTTGGCTTGTTTAGTCTAGGAAAAACAAGGCCTGGAAGAAAACATGTTCACTGCTTTTAAACGCAGCAGGGAATAAACACTTGAGAGAGAGAAGAGCTAGTTGAATTAAACAAAGTTGACACGAAAAGAAAAAAACATTGGTGAACAAATTTAGAGAATGAGATCAGTGGTGTTCTGAAACACTCTTCTGATGAAAACAGGGAGGGCAAAAAACCCACCACCTTTTAGCATACAGCTTGATAAACATGTTTCTTACGGATACATTTATCAGGGCACAGACGTTCCCTGATGAAAGACAGCTGTCAAGATAGGCTTGAAGAAGAAATATCAATGAAAGAGTTAACGATCGATAGCAAAACCACTTTGACATGTCTGCTTTTATTAGCAGAAAAATACTTAAAACTATAGATGAGGTGCTTTTGCAACTCAACTCCAGTCACTTGTCTGCCCTGACAGGCACGAGATGCAAGATTTGGCCGTTTCTTTCTATTGTTTTAATAAATAAAAGAGCTTTCATATATTATTACTTCTGATTAGTCATCTACTGGTTTGTGCTCTTCACAATAATGTTTTTTTTTTTTGGTAGGAACTTAGTCTTACAACAATATTTAGAACAGTTGCAGCTAATGCTTATGCTTTAGCTTTTTCATTTGGATCAGAGACAAGCAGACTCCCTGACTGAAAATACGTGATTTAATATGGTGCTTTTTACAAAATAACGAAGTAAGAACGCAAAAAAAACCCCACCAGTATGATCTCAGTGTAACAACTCTTTTCACGGTAGCAGAAGTAAGAGCTTCACGGACAAGATGCAGCATGATTATAAAGAAGAGAAACGTCCTGCCCATCCTTTCATTCCGTATCTCCATTTCCAGGCTTTGAAGACAAGGACATTTCCATAAAGGAAGCTGTAGACAACCAAGAACTAGCTAAACAAGAGACCGAAGAAGAAGGACTTCAGGGAAGAATTCAGATGGTCCATTCTGGCTGTCTTGACTGTATTGCTCAAAGGTCACATTTTGCTTCAGCTGTTTTGACTCTTGATGGAACATATGAGGAGAAACCAGGGAGTACGAGACTGCCCAAAGGTGATGCAGTTCCACAGCTGGGTAGCCAGTCAACAGACAAACTCTTCCAACTTCTTGTTAGTTTTATTAGGTTTTTGATTAGTCTTCAATCAGTTGGGTTCCCTCGTCTGGCTTACAGTAAGATCACATAAGCACAAGTGCTGATGCAAGGCAGAGAGTGAGAAAGAGGGAGAGTGAGAGGGAGAACACGGAGATGGGAGGTAGGTCAGAAGCGTGACAACAGCAATCTGAATTGGCTCAAACCCTTGTGCAGCTTACTCATGTGCAGTATTTTCACAAATACCTTAAACTAGCTTAGGCTAGCATGTCTGCTAGGCGGCCTTCCTTTCTCTCTACCCATTTACAAGGTGAAAAATACGGTTAGTTTTCACTAAGACCAGTTTTCCCAGCCTGGAATGGCGCGATAGCACTTCACTGGCACAAAAGAGGAGACAACACAAGGAGGGAAGAAGAGGCTTCCTTTGACAGCAATGCTAGCTTAAATTGACCACAAAACTGGGATCTTAAATAAACACAGAAGACGACAAGAAAAAGCTTATACTTCATTACTGCCTTTGCCAAAAAGGATCATAGCGTTACAAGTTACTGAAGAACTGGAGACAGCGATAACGTAGTCACATTTCCTGGATTTATATGAGTGATCTGGAATGGAGGGGTTCTGAATCACCAAATTCCTGTTTGGCCTTCTTTTTTCAGATTGCCAGAGATATATATATATTTTTTTTAATAGATCTACATCTTTATTTTTTATTACATGGTTTTAAAACCTGGGTATTCTATGCAAAGATCAGGAATCACTGTACTAGGCACTGCAAGCAATTATGTTCCTTGCTTTAAATAACTTCTAATATACTTACATATACAAATATAGTATATTTGTATACTTGCTACAAGAAGTTCTTTTTTGGGTACATGATAAAATCTGAGAAATGAACTTTTCATTTAAATTCTGTAAGACCTGTAGGATTGTGACCTTGAATATGAGGAAAAAAAGAAAAATGTTACAGAAGGTCTGTGCCACATCTGATTTTACAACTGTGCAATCAGATTTCAGTTATTAGAACAGTACTTAAAATAGAATTTCTTTTGTCACATCTTCTGCTGTATTGCTCTTCATTGCCTGCATGGAACCATATTTTTTTTTTTTTTAATGAGCAATTAGGGAAAAAACATAAGCCTGAACATTAAAATAATAATAAAATTTTGGCAATGTCACTTAGAAATTTAGACTCTGAAGCAATATAAAGCAATATAAAGAAATTATTTTTTAATTCAGATTATCTTTTAATTAATCTCCACATGCTAGAAACAAAAAATAGCTGTACAAATAAAACAGCTGAACAATAGCTGAACAAATAAAAGTTCATTGCGTGCAAATTGCTATCCCCTCTGTGTGATCTCACCCTGAGTGCTCTGTACCACATCAAAAAAATTGTACTCACCGGTATGAGGTTTCTGGAAGCAAATCATCGATAACATAACTTGTAACATTTCCTACTGGAATGCTGATGTCACCCAGGTCAATGTTGTACGACGTAATCTCAGCTCCGTTATTGCATGGTTCTTCCCAGTTCAGTACAAGGCACACAGAGGGTGAGAGTTGACAGGCATCCACGTGCTCATCCTCCAGCACGGAAAGTGTAGAGACTGCATCAGGCACAGATGCTGGGATTCTGCAGGTTACCAGGTCACTGTAGGGTCCAGCTCCTGCCTGGTTAATAGCCTGTGTGTTAAAAAAAATATTTTTACAGGATATGTGTTCTCTTTCACACGTCTATCGAGTTCATAATAATGAACTGTGCAGCCTGAAAAAGTTGCATGGATTCTTCAGAGGATATGCACCGCTGGCTTATTCCCTAAAGCATGACTCATACCCTCTACCTGTACTAGAGCAATTAATATCTTCCTTTGTTACTCAGGAGTATCTCTCAGATAAATTGGAGAATTTTTCTCTTTTCCCTAATAGCTATTTAATCACACTTACCAGTAACCTTTTTATCGGCAGCAAACTTTGTTTAGTAAGGGAAAATGTCACAGTCACGCTGTCAGCGACAGGTGACATCACATTGTTCAGCAAACTGGCTACCTGAAATTGTTGAGCCGCCCTGTATAAAATCGTCAGTATACTGCAGAGTCCACATCAGATGCTTTACGCAAGCAGAGCACCCCTCGACATAAGGGGCATTTGGCTTGCTGAGAGCTACGCTGGTTCCTAACTCAGAGAATGGATAGCTAATTTCATGCTAAAAAGTTTCTTATATAAGAATATAGGATCTCAGCATGGCATTAAGTCTATGACTCAGATCTCCCCAGAAGTCACAAATCACTAGCAAACCACCACCAAAGCACATAGCTCAATAGTTTTCACAAGAGAGGAGCAACCAATTATCAAGCTTCTCATCTCGACTCATAGATCCGGGATCCCAGTGGAAACCAAGTTTCAAAATCTGGCCCACTTCTGCTCATTAATACAGAGGCTGTCGTCTTTGCAAGCTCAACATCGCACAATTGTACAGACCTGGTTTTTTATCAGTTGATGCTCAGTCAGTGGCAAATGCTGTATATGTTGCATTGGAATGGCCTAGGAAATAACTTAATATTACCTCCTCAGGATTATTACTAGCTCCTGTGCACACAATCTCAGAACCATGCAAGCTGGAAGGGACCCTGGGACACATCTAGTCCAACCTGCTACTCCACGCAGGGTCAAAGCTGAATACAGACCAGGTTACTCAGGCTTTTGTCCAGTCGGGTCTTGAAAAATTCCAAGGATGGAGAATGCACAGCCCTTCTGGACTACTGTTACAATCCTTAATTGCCTGCACAGTGATAACTTTTTTCTTTATATTTCATCTGAACATCTCTATTTCAACCTCTGCCTGGAGCAAAACTGGACACGGTATTCCAGAATGGCACGTAACGAGCAATACCACCTTCCCTTGATCTGCTAGCTGGGTTCCTCCTGATACAGCCCGCATGATGCTAGCCCCCAAGGTGCGTGGAGAGCTTATGATAGCATGTTATGGTACAGGCTGAGCTACAGGAGGTCCAGACCTTCAAAAGCAGCTTTTGACATTGCCTAGCATCGTCCACCATCCACATTTCCTTTGCATTTGGAAAAGTGAACCCGGTGTCGCCCATCAGATCACAATTAATTAGAAAACCTGGGTTTATAATGTTGCCAGTAGGACTACGATGGCAAGGAAAGGACATGTCAAACAATTGTTTGATTTCTTATCTATGCTTAACTGTAGTGAATAACTTATTTCTGCTATGCATAATACAAACACAAAGCCATGCTTCTGTTTTTCCAGGAGGCGTTTTGTTCAATTGAAGAAAGAGGTAATAAAGTTAGATTTGTCAGCCTTTAAAAAGCCCTTCAAAACAAATCCTGCTCCAGGGACATCTTCTATTTAGTGAAGCGCTCCTAGAGCTGTTAAGAGTGAGCCTTGTTTTGTGGTCTGCCAATGATATTATTTGTCTTGCCTCTACACCAGTGTTTGGCAATCTGTAACTTGCTCCAAGCAATTTATTTTTAGTGGTGCTTTTAACTGCTTTATTGGACAATCCTATCATCATAACTGATGGGAATTTTCGTTGTTCTGTGCTTCCTAGATACTTCCCCACTCCCCAAAAATGACACAGTATTTCCCTTTGCAGAAGCCACATTGTTTTCTGGAATATTCATTACAGGAAAAAAGTTGAGCAACAGTAAAGACAAATTGTCTGCCCTGCAGTTATATATGCCTGATTCCTCAATTCTCTCTTTTTATTGAGTTACTGTAGGTTGAGATTGCAATACTGTGTGTTTATTAGGAGGCAGAGTAAATGTGGTTTGGGCAATCTTTATTTTTAAAAAATAAAAGAAAGATTTTTATGTTAAAGCTGCTAACAGATAAGAAAAACAGCTATTATTATCTCCTTTTTAGTTAAAAAAAAGACTAAAATTTCTGAAACTATTTAACTTTTCTTCTTTGTCTGCTATACATACTTTATTCTTTTTTTCTTTTAATTGTTTCAATGTTCCAGTGTATCATATAACAAATTCTTCTCCATATAATACACAGATCAGATCTAGAAGATGAAGGCTCTAGAAAGTAATGCATGGGTCACTGATGGACTTCAATAAAATGTCTTAGTGCTGTTGTGCTTTTCACTTAACTTCTGCCTATGGATTAAATTATATTGGCTGTGCTAAAAACTGGGTAGATTTGTGCAACATTTTTGGGGCACGTAATTTAAAATGAACGCCCACTCGAAATCAAAGATGCTATTCAGCTGGCTGTTTCCATTTTTAACATGAAAATCTCCTTGAGCTCCCCGTCGCCCACCGCAGAAGTGGTCTCACAGTCTCCTCCCTGCCCAGCGGACGCTGAACGCTTCCCCTCCTGCGCAAACAAGAGGCACTTTCTGGCTCACACTTCCAAGCCACTCACACACGCTCTTTCAATTCACCTTCCCCAACAGTGCCGGTGCAAGGTATACGGCCAGCTATGACCAAGTCAGAAAATACAGTTGAGTGTACTCAGAGGTGTGGGGCCCTAGCTCCTTGGCTGTTGGCCAGCTGCTCGAAAGCTACTTTGTAAAAAAAAAAAAAAAAGGAAAAAATTCGAAGTCCTGTTTAAAAAAATTTAAGAAGGAAACGCTCGACAGAAGCATGTTGTCCTTGATCAAAGAAATGACCCTGGGTGGTCCACGCGTTGCCAGCTGGGTGGGTACATGAATTTTTGGTTGGATTACTGGTGGTATTCTGCCTTCACATACAAATAAATCTTGTGGAAGAGTATCTTGGGCAAAAACATTTTTATTTCACTCCCACTTACTTTACTTTCCATTTATTTTTCAGTAGACATAAAGGAGAAATTCTAAGTTGTATTTTTATTTTCATATATATATGTAAGAAATATTTTAACTGTTACTTTTTACTGAAAATAATAGGAGAGAAAGAGATCAAAGAAAAAGAAGTCATATAGAGACTCTATATGAAATCCAATCTTACAAATCTAAGAGACAAAATGGTAAAGGTGAGGACTCACTTTCTGGCAGCTACCACCTCCTATATACATAGGAATCTACTCAGCTGGTTGGCTTTATTTGATAAATGAAGCAGATGTTGAAGTTTATTAGTTAAGCTAGGGGAATCTTCAACATCCAGTTGGGAGGTAGATGTTATTTACATCTCATTACCAAAAAAAAATTAATTTTTTTTGAAATTGTCTAAAACATTATCATTTTGTTTTAATATCAGAGGGCAAGGTGGCTGTTAAAAGCATTATTCACTGAAAATAAACCACACGAGAGCAATTTTCGAGAGCTGAAAGTTATACCAACTCCCTTGTTTATCACTTTGAATTATGCAGAATCTAAACTGTTCAGTTATATAGCAACAGTCTGCATTATTTAAAATAAACGTACATTCCTTCTGACTTACAGAGCACCTAACTTGGATAGTGGCTAATGATAAAAATAAAAACACAGTGGAAGGAAACTCTGTTTACATCTTAGATTGCAATGCATGCAAAACCTCGTAACTTCCATACCTGTAGCCTACAGCAGTAATGCGCTGCCGCTGACAATTCACTTATTTCAAAACAGGTATCTGTGCCGTTATACGCAAGTTGTAGAGATTCCTCATCTTCTCCCCACTCCAATCTGTATTCAGAGATGTCAGCACCAGAACATTCAGGACTCTGCAACACAAATATTTATGTGGTTCAATTCAGAAATGAGCACTTCAGATCTCCATGTTTCGCTGGGTAAGGAATAAAGTACACGGAAAAATTACCCAACACCTTATTTTTAAATTAATACACCATTAATACACCATTACGGCTGCAAATGGAAACGCGCTGAATTTATATTCCCTAATAGGTTACTGAAACAGGCCAATTCTGCACAAAAATTACCTGGTAGAAATTCAGAGAAATGAGAAAGTGTACACAGCTACTTTGCTTTTCATCAGGACACTCAGGAATAAATTGTCTCTCCACTGGCTTGTCAGACACACAACCATGGAGAACACAAAAAAGCATCAATCCAGCCTAGTCTAGCTGACTGATCAAAACACCGCCCTGGAAGAGCTAGCCTTCAAGCCTGAAGTAATTACTCGTGTTACTGAGAAAAGAGAAACCTCAACAAGCGAGGATCTTGTCTGAGGTTTTCAGTGAAAGTCACCCATCAAGCTAATGCTCCCAGTATGGGACATGGAGTGAGGACCTGGGTACATTAACGTCCACAAGAAGACCCCTACAGGATCCATATGTCCTCAGCAATCCCTTTAGCATCCTGAAGTCTAGGGGAACACAGAATAAGTATCTGAATTTGTGGAGGTGAGCTAGCGCAGGCATATCGGCACGGTTCCCAAAACAAAGTATTTTTACCAGAACTACCTAGAGCTGTACCGTGTGGACTGGAGCAGCTCGGGGAATCACTGCTCTACGTGCAGAAGTGTGGTCTAGGATATGGCAAAGACTGCAATTACAGCATGCAAGGTCTAACTTCCAGTAAAAGGATCCAGAGCATTGCTGCACGCCACAATGACCACCCTGCACATGCACATGGGCTTCTCTAGCTCTGCCTCTGAGCATCCAGCTAGTTCAGTAGGAGCATTCAGAACTGCTAAGCCAGTGTTTTAAAACAATGTGTAAAAAAGGCATAGTAGGCACCGTGGTATGCTCTCTAGCTAGACAAAAAACTCCACAGTCATTTGCCGTTTTTCTTTCATATTCCTATCAGCCAAAAAATGACAGACTCTTTAAGAAAACATAACCATTGCAAACCACATTACTCCATCCACAGCTTCATTTTTAGCCAGCATAAACAAATATATCCGGCATATAAATACAGAGCCTACTAGAAACACTGCTGCATTCGCTCATGGTTGGGGAGAGCAAATGCCTGTCCATACACTCATTTAAAAGGTAACACTTTAACACTTAAAAGCTTCAGTGCGACTTCTAGCTTACCATCACAAAATGTTGCAAACACCTCCAAACTGCACCAAACGCACCTGTTTCATTATAAAATTAAACTCAGATTACTTTTGTACCTAGATATGTTGTTAGCACAGTCAATTTATTTGAGCATCTCGTGAACATTAATAACTTTTTTCTCAACAAGGGCATCCTTTTGTGGAGGGACCTGACAGATGCAGGGCTGGAACAGCTGCTAGGTTTTCAAAGAAAGTCTGTGGCACAATTACAGCCCCATCGCTCCATATCACAACTTTATTTAGGACAACATCCTTTCCTTTCTGCTTCAATTACATAACAATTTTAATGACACCAATCAACCCTTCAGCACTTCAGCTAAGACTTATTTTAAGAGTCCAATGTCTAAGACCCTGGAGAATGGAGAAGGAACACACAGAAAAGTAAATATTTGGGGAAGAGACAAACAACTTTTGAGGAAAAAAACCTGTATCATAAGCATTTGTGCAGAGTTAATTTCATATCAGAGACTCCAGCTTCAGCCAAAATCAAATATTTGCCTTCACAACTCCACCCTAGGACACTCTGACACGCTAAAAGCCTGCAGAGAGCACGGGTACCCGACCAGCGCTCTATCATCTGACGCCAGCGTAGGAAGCCTGGTGTCTGAATCCTGGTCTGGATGACTCATGTCAACTTTATGCAATTCTTTAAAGAGAAAAGTAGAGAAGATGATTTTCTACGATAGAAGAGTTTCTGCATATCGTTTTCTTGCACAAAAAAAAAGTTCCAAACCACTGAATAGCTCTCAAGCTAGCTTTCAAGTTTTGCGGTGACCATATTAGTTTGGATAAGCAAGATGGAAATTAAACACCTGACTTACCTCCCAGCTTACAAGTACACGTGTGTCAGACAGAAAGGAGAGGGAAGGTGCGCTGCACTGGCCAGGCGGTCCTGCTGCCGTGGTGACTTCTGTAGCTTCCGAATACGGCCCGTACTAGAGGGGAACAAGGTATCTGTCCATTAATATATAGACATACACCTATCTCACATTCCTCAAAGGCTTTTCAAGAACAGCACACAGAAACTTTTTCAATGCAATAAACTTTCTCAAAGATAGACGGGGCTTCCGACACTCAGCACCAAATATCAGAGTTCAGTATGAGACCACGTAAATTACTGCAAAGTTAAAACGTGAGGTAAGTTCAGGTACGAGCAGACAGCATGTACACCCTTCTGTGCGGTGATGAGTGCCCAGGCAAGCGTAAGCCACCTCCAATTTACCCAAGAGTGAGAACGTGCACTCAGCCGCAGAGTAACTGAGGAACAGTTTGTACCCCTCTACCTTACCTTAAAGTAATGTGTTCGCATGTCTGTGCCATAGCCTGGCATAACTGGCTTCTCGTGGATGTAAGGAGGTGCACAGCAACAGTAAAGCACATACTGGAGTCCAAATGCAGCTTCTTTTATATAAAATGTCTGCCATGTGTTAATTATAAAAGGATAGCATGTGATGGAGCCCAGCCTGGGTGTCTAACAGCAGTGTTCAACATGCAGCGGCACGCTGCACACACGCCGTGTATGGCTTAGCTCCACAGGCAGCTAAGCCAGCTGCTCAGGCAACTTTTGAGCCCTTGGCAGGAGAATAATTTAAATGCATATTAGCAAAAGAAAAGGCAAACTTCAAGAGTCTGGAAAACTAGGTTCAGCCAACAGCGCGAGAGGTAACAGTGGAAATAGCCTTTCTGAGGCCACTTGAGTGGGATAATAAAGTTTTTCAGCACATTCCCAGGCTAATTAGAAATCATTCTTCAGAACAAAGGAACTTCACTGGAAGCAATTAGAGGAAAAGCACTGATATTTACTTATTTTGGAATGCAATACTAGCAAGTATGAGAAAAATGAGCCACTACAAAGGCTAAACAACACTGAAATTACGAACCCCAGAAAACGTCTCAACAGACGTGTCAGTATCTGTGCTATCGAGAAAGGCTAACACTGATCGCTGTGTTTGAATTACAAAGAATGCACACTTCAAAAAAATCTCATTTATTGACTTCCGCTGTTTTCTTTACCTAATGGGAGGAAGAAAGGTGTTTGCATCTGGTAAAGAACACCTGCCCTCCTGCCCCCATTTTGCATCTGGTAAAAAAAACTCCAACCAAACCAAAACCAGCCCCCCCAGAGGGGGGGGGCTAGAAATGCTTTGCAACTTTAAACACTGTTTTGCCAAAACAAGAAAAAAAAGAGAAAAAAAAAAAAAGAAAAAAGACAAAAAGTAAGAGGGGAAAAAAAAGTCAAGGTATCATATATCCAAAGTTACCAGGTAGGCAACTGTTTTCATTCCAGCAAGCAAAACCAATCTCTCCATGTGTATTTAATTCATTTTTCACAAAAATAAAATAGTGGATATTTTTAAGACAAAACAGTTTTACAGTCTTGCATATTTTCCAATACCTAAATTACGTTTTAACAGAACTTCTCCCTGTAAGCAAATAACTTTAAACCTTATGTTATGTTTGTCATCAAGATTTCCTAGGAACAAACACATGAATATGCATGTACTGTTGCTGGGGCTGCCTTTATAAAAAAACGTTGGAAAGATGCTCTCACAAAGGCAAGCAGAATCAACCCAAACCTCACTGAATCACCAAGATCTTTCAACAGATCTCCGGGGACATCAGATAGAATTTATGATGATTTTGGGAAGGCACACCTTCCAAGGAAAACATATAACAAAAAAATAATCAAATCTATAAAGCATGTATGTTTTTCAAATTAAAACAAAAAAAATCATTAGGAATGCAAGCTTTCTTCAAAATATATCAATACCTGAGTGAACTTTCAGTAATTGTTTTTACACAGTTAAGATTTAAAACAAAAAGAAGGAATGCAGTGGAAGGGGAATAAACAGATTCCTCCCTGCAAGCAGATACGACTTTCAGCAGGGATTTTGCACATTTCGGCCCAGCTGATTTTGGACAGTCAAATCATATTAGTACCTGAAACCTCCTTTTAAGAGAGTTCCAGATTCAAAACTGCAGCTTTTCCTCAGAAGTTCCTTTAAGCATTTCTCACTTCATTTTCTTTTGCCCATCTCCCCTTCACCTTTCTGATCACCAGCACTAACACAATCACTTTCCAGAATTGCCCGTCTCAGGCATAGTACCACCTCCAGCAAGAAAAAGCCAATGCACGTACCCCACCATCATTCAAAGCTCTCACTCGGAACCGATACGTTGCTCCAGGAAGAAGGTTGCTGACGGTGCACTCCAGATCAGGCCCATGATACACTTCAGAAACAACTTCTTCGGGTTCTGTCATTTCTACACTGTACTCTGAGACAGGACAGCCACTTTCTGATGGAGGGACATCTAGAAAGAAATCATATAATTCATTAATAACATAAGGACATATGCCAGGAAGATTAATTTTTTACTCGGCATACCACAGAAATACATACACACATATACACACACAATCAACAATGATTTTCCTCTTCGATAGATGCCTTACCTGCAATATCTCACCTATGTACGATTGACATTTTTAAAGCAAATGAATAAAATTCCTCTTAGCCCTAAACACTCACCAGGTCAGATCGTCACATGCAAGAGCAGGAGCTCCCCCAAGGCAATGATCTGTCACCCTGGGAAGCTGTGTTTGATGCCAGGAGGTGCCCAGCTACTTTTTAAGCAGAACACAGTAGCTACCATTCTCTTCTGAGGATGAAAACAACCTACTCTGCTTCTCTCCCCCAATATCAAAGGCGCTGGTGTGTGCAAAAAAATTGCTCAATGAGGCAGGAGAAAAGGTATTGAAAGCTGCACGAAGAATGGGACTAGCGCTGAATACACCCTTTCTGGGACAGGGAGAAATCAGGAGGCACATGGTGGCTGTCTGACCCAATCTTGGCTGCTGGCTATGGTTGGACACAGGCTGAGGGGGGTCATGTATGCTCCAAAACTACTACTTATACACAGGGTTTCTGGCAAAGCCTCGTTAACACCCAATAAAAGTATGAACAACTGCCATCCTCGAACCTTATTAGCCACACCGCTAACATTTATGAGATTCTAAATCTCTGTACAATGATCTAAACACTGTGCTTCACTTGGAATAACAGCTTTTTGGGAAACTGAATTTGTTGTCTCTGCCTGTATCTGTTTTGTTGTGGGCACCTTTTTCCCCATGAAAACAACATATTTGATAATATTTGCATGTTATATTACATGCCAGTACCACAGAATCAACCTGCCTGGGGTTCTGAAAAGCAGTGCTCCACTGTAAAGGGTACAGTCTTCCAGGAAACAACATGGTATCTTGGATGCACAGATGAATTTTTATACTGGTGTTGAGATACTTTTGTCAGTTAGAAATGGTACTGCTCTAGAATTTAGCTTAATGAATGACGCCACAAAGAATCTCGGATGCTGCAAGATTATTATAGTAAAGAAAAAAATCTGTTGGACACTGGTGTGTACGTTGTATTCTGAAAAATGTGCGGTTTTGACAGTTTAGTGTCACGTTCATGATCCAAGTCCTTGGCAAAATTCAAGGTGGCCAATGGACTGTGGGTGTTACACTGTGGATCAGGGTTTAAATGCCACCCTCAATATGTTCTAACTCAAATCCTCAATATGTTCTAACTCAAATTTCTGAGAGAAGTCCTATATTAGAAGTAGCAAAACGCTTCTGCTAAGTCAATATTGCAAAGGAATTAAAAAGATCTTGAATCCTATAGTGTTTTTGCAATAAAAGGATAGATATTCTAATATAGTTGATGCTTTATAGTCCTGACACAGAGACAGGTCCTAACTAAAACAAAAATGGGAGCACAGTATCAGGCCTAAAGGACAGCTGGAGGACAACTGAGTTCAGAAACCCAGCACAGAGCCACAGCAGTTGACGAGAAGTTGCATTTCTGACTTGCACAGACTTCACTGGACTTTGCTTTGTACTTCCCAGGGAACAGAATACACTGCAACTTTTCACAAGGTCTAGCAACAGAAATAAAAGTTAAGGCAAGTTCAGTGACTAACCATCAAGATCAAAGCTATTCAACAGTGAGATGGCTTACCCCATTGTAGCTGTACTTCTTTGTGCTTCGGCTTCCCCAAAACTCTTGGTGGTCGGCAGTGACCTGGTGCAACACTTAGCGTACGGACAGGTAAACTTTCAGAACACTGGAAGAGAACAGGAGCTGAAGTTAGCTCTCTGGTACGATTACCTTCTACAAAGTGAGGCATGATTAGAAAGCGGCACAAGAAATTGTTTTCTACAACAACTGTTTTCTACAACACGTAATAGAAATGTATATAAAGGATAGGGGATGCTATCAAGCATGTTACTTACAAATGCAATTAATACAGTTCTTTCACTAGCATACTCAAAACTGTAGCACAGGAAACTCTGATGGCTAATGTTGTGGGGTTCTTTATTTTAATTTTCCTTGTTTTTAAAATAATATCAAGGCCTAAAGTACTCAATCATTTTAATAAAAAAAAAAAAAAAAAATCAAAGCAGGAGGAATAAAAGTGTAGGTACTGAAATTATTTTAAATCAAAGAAGGGAATGACAGGAATCAGTGGCTGGAAAATGGAACCCAAAAATTGAAAGAAGAATTCAGCCACATGAAAGGTAAATAGTTGTTAGAACAAACTACTCCTACTGCATCTTCACTCACAAGCTTTGGTCAGTACAGGCTCATGTACATGAGAGTCTCTGGTCTTTCTCAAGCAAGTGGCCAGATCAGATAAACACGATGGTCTTTTCTAGTGTAAGTATAAACACCTACAAATTGTTTTTGAGGAAACCGAATCTCACTACATTGCAATTTGCCTGAAAATAAAACCTATCAGGTACACATAGAACTTCCAAAATTCAGCAACTTGCAACATAAGATTAACTGCAATCAGTGTGGCTTTACTGTGCTACAGGAAAAATATTCACCTTCTTTTTAAAGCAGATTTTTTTTTTACCAAAAATAGCAGATAAATCTCTGAAAAATATAAACCCAATAGTCCTTATTGTTAAATAATACTTACCTGACTGTGTCCGCCAGTGCTGATACAGCATGCCCGGAGTTTATACAAAGTGCCTGGTTTCAAGTGAGTACAGGTATATTCTGTAGCCGATCCACTATATGCCACTTCCCATTGATTTGCTAAAAAATGAGATATATCTAAGTTTAGAGAAGTATAATGCAAGAAGTTTACTAGTATCTAGGAGCAAAGAAAATCCTTAATGTGGTCTTCCACAAATTATATATTTCGGGAAAGCCATTGGTGTTAATATTACTATGAATATTATTCCCGCTTAAAGACATACATATACATAGATACATATACAAATATATGTATATACACACACTTACAAATATAAATATTTCTAAAATATATTAAAAATATCAAATCAAACAGTAGGTTCAGCCCTATAACCTAAAATTCCACCAGTCTTAGAGAAAAAGAGCATACTTTAAAACAAACACAACAAAAGCATTAGTGCATTAATGATAATAACAATAATAGCCCAAAGGGTCAGTACTTCTTTATAGTAGCCATAATGGATTGAAATGGAGAAAACTTGTTTCAAGTTTACCTTCCGGACTTCCTTGAGAAATCTCTAATAGATACTTTAGGATTTCCGAACCACCATTATCCTGTGGAGGATCTGAAAAAATAAGGCAAGTTGTTAGTAAATCAAGATTAGGAGTGAAATGTAACAAAAAGATTACAGAACTTGTTTCTGATTCTGCTCCTTCTCTTCCACAAACTCCCCCACACTAACTACACCAAGGAATTTATAGCAGAAGTGGGTAGCAGATGTTAGTTTTCAGCATGCGTCAGAATAAGGTGGCTGGACAATGATGCTACAAACAAAGTGTACGGAAAAAGCATTGAAAGAGATGCAGCATGGAGGCTTGCCCCATCAATAAAGGAAGCAGCCGGAATGACGCTGCAATGGGACATGAAATGGAAGGTGAAAAGCCTGAAGAGTGCAAGTGCAAGTTAGTCAATAAAAACAAACAACATTTTTGATTCTGAAAACGTTAAAAGCCTCCACACATCTTTTAAAATATTAAAAAAATTAAGGACTGAGAAGCAGCATGAAAAATCTAAGTTCTAATACATGTTTACATAATTTTATGTGAATTTATTATGACCCAAAAAAGCTATGACAAACTGAACTGGCTTACCCCACTTCACACTAAAGCCATGAGACGTTATTGGCCCCTTAATAACGGGTCTGGTTGGAGGTCCTGGCCTGTCTGGGCTTGTTGTACAGACCAACACTTCGCTGGGAGAACTCTTTCCTTCCACATTAGAAGCAAACAGCTGAAACAAAACCACAACAAGTTTACCATTGTTTACTGTAACTGCTTTTCTGACAGTTCTGCATGAGACTTCTTTTAGTAATTGCACAAATATCATTAAACTGAAAATTATGTCACATCCCAACAAAGTGTGTGGGATTCTAATAACAGATATTAGATTGTCACGTTGTTTCTTTACAAACCACATTGATTTTTCCCTTCCCTCCACTAGCAATAGATCATGACATGTTTAAGATAAGAGCACTGCTGTTTTTCCCTTTAAAAAAAGTCACGTGGCGACTTGCAGTTATTTACTCATAAAAAATGAAAACTATGACAATAACTATGCTATTTTTGTTTTGGAGGTATTTCAAACTGCTATTTAAAACAAATTAATTCAGAGTATCAGTAATCACACAATTAAAAGCTTAAGTAGCATGACACGCAAACAAGAAACGCGTAATCTACAGCCCCCAAAACGAGCAGGATGCACACAAAGAAAGCGTTCTCAGCCAAATGCTTCGTCTCTACTCAAGAACACCTTCTGCTGACTTCAGGGAGAAGGCTGCTAGGCTAAGAGAAGACATGAGGACCTGGCCAGGAGACTGAGCAGATCAGGATTGTACAAAAAACCCCAAATGGTCCAATGTCTTGTGGCTGCTGAGAGCTGTATTAGCTCATGCTAGTCTCTGGGACAGAGATCTGCTGCCAAGGAAATGAGTAATAAAATATGTATTATAACTGCTAATTGTAAATATAAGCTAGCAGGAACTTTTCCACTAGGGAAGCTCTGTTATTCTGAGGAGCAGTCACTTCTATCCTCTCTCCTAACACAGGCGTCTGAGGAAAACAATTTGCAATTTTTAAGGCCAAAAAAGTAACTGAGGTTCTCTAGCCTATATGCTCGCTTTAAACAAGTCACTACAGCCTCTATCCGAACAAATGCCTTTACAAACGTGTATTACACTACCATTGTCACTTTAATTAACCAACCTTTATTTCATCAAAAATGTTAGCAGGATGTCTCCTCTGTAAGCACACATTGTAAAGAAACAACGTGACAATCTAATATCTGTTATTAGTAGAATCCCGCACACTTTGTTGGGATGTGACATAATTTCCAGTGATCCTAGGGTGTCTGCATTTGGTTTTGTTTGTTTTGTTTTATAGTTTTGGGGATCCTTCCCCAAGTTCCATAGCTAATTAACGCTGGTCCGCATGCAACGAGGGAACGTCTCAGTGCTGAGTCAGATCAGAGTTGTGCTTGTAGCCGGTGACACGAGGCTGTAAGTTTGCTCTGATATCAACCCAGTTTTGTAAAATTCGCATTTAGTTTGAAAGCAGGGCTGCAGAGAAGCACTAACCGTCCTTCTCCCTCAGACAGCCACAGCAGCTTTTACAATGCTAAACTAAAAGGCATCATCTCCGAGTGACACTGCAACAACTTTCCAATTCTTTGGGTAGTTCTTCATGCAACTTCACAAGGTCTTCTGTCCCACAAAGGAATATATGCAAAGTTGTTTTTAAGGATTTAAATGAGTCTTTGGGTAAAGTTTTTGTTGTTGTTGCTCCTGAATGTACTAAGACCTACAGAAGCCAAATGTTTTTGAATCAATACAAACCTATGCCATCCTTCTCTCCCCGCGCTGTTTACAAATGACACAAAGCCGCTTCCAGACACCATTTCTGATGGGCAACATGGGAGCACGGCGGACGCTGGCCTTACAGACAGCTCCTCGCCATCTCCGGAGGGACGGCAGCGCTCCGGGCGGCGCGGCCGAACGCCATCTTGTGGAGCTGCGCTCGGATCCCGGCTTCGCGGCCGCCTCTGCAGCGGACAGCCCGGCCGCAGGGACGGACAGCCCGGCCGCAGCCCGTCTGGTGACAACCACACCGTCTCCTCCTCAATGGCAGCAGCCGGGACTTGTGGTGTGCT